TCTATAGTCGCGTGCCATGCCTGCCTAATATATGTATTATATGTATGTAGCTTTTAATATTTTCGTAGTTAAAAAAACACTTTGCGCGCTTCAAATGCGCAGTAATTTTAATTTTTATAATTTTTTTTTTTTTTTTGAACATTAACTTTTGCAAGCAATTTCGTTTTCCTGCTTGTGCATTACATAAATCTTGAGCTAAAAAATTTTATTTTATTTGTATGCGAATTTTTCTTCTATTATCACATTAATATATGTATATGCAACATACATATGTACATATATATGTGTTTTGTAATAATTATAAAACCTATCAATTGCTCGCAAATGTTATAAAACAACAAAAAATTCAAAAAAAAAAATTAAAATAAGTGAAGATATTTCCACTATTGATATGGTAAAACTCTTAAGAATTTCTTTAGAAGTAATTTTTTGAAGCTAAGAGAACTGTAAAAATCGAAAAAATAAAACCTAACCTTGAAAGTCAGAAGTTCCGTTACAGTATAAAAAATTAGTAAAAATTAGTTCAAAATTTCTGGCGAGTCACTTTCCATGTGTGTAGTCTGGCGTTATCCTGATTAAACACAATTTCCCTGCTGTTCGCCAAAGCTGGGAGCTTCCGAGCGATTGTTTACTTCAGGCGATCCAATTGTTGACAGCACTGATCCGGATTCAGAATTTCGCCGTAGGGGAGCAGCATATAGTGAAAGATGATTACTTATCAATCCCTCTGAACACACAACAAAACCTTCTCCGCTTGGCATTGCTATAGTTGATCCACTATTTAAAACCAGTCACCATCCGCTATAGATATGGGTCCAATTTGTTACGATCCAGCAGCGATGCGCAGATGGAAATTCCATATTTTTTTCATCGATAACTCATGAGGAACACAAGCATCGATCTTCTTTGTGTGTCCAGTCTTTTCTAGTAGTTCCAAACTGATTTTTGTACAATTCGATTAATTTATCAAGATTGACCTTCCGGACCGTAGAGCGTCCTTATATACAATATATAAATGGCGATTTGTAACCACTGAAGCGTTTCTCCACCGAGCTTCTTCTCTCCAATTTGTGGTTTTGCGTCTTGATGTTTTTCCAACAAACGGGGGGACCTACAGTTTATACTAAGCCGCCTACGAACGGCTGATAGTTTTCTTATGGGGAGCCTTATTTGATGTCATAAGTACTCTCAGAGGAGTTGACATTCCCTGCCGGGAAGCGACCAAAATTAGAAAATTTTGCTTAATTTTTTATTTAAATTAATTTTCTATAACTTTATGGATGTTATTACCACTCCAAGGAATTGAACCTACCAGTGATCCCACGACGCCAACATCACCGCTTTTGAAGCGTCGAAACAATTTCTGCATAATTTATCAGTGGGCGCAGATTTACCATAAACTTCCATAAACATTCGATGGGCTTCAGCTGTATTTTTCTTTCAATTAAAGTAGAAAACCAAAATTTTCTGCGAATGCTATTTATTTAACATAAATCCAGACATTTCTCGAAGAGGAAAAAAACGATGTTGCTGTGATAGACCGATGCTGATACACACTTATTATTGTCCAGTTGTTACCTATCCAGTGAAAACAGGTAGCGGCTTCCACGATCGGCCACAAGTTGCAGGTGGAAAATATATAAAAAAAAATTAAAAAGAAAAACATACAAAAAAATGGAAAGGAAAAACATAAAAAAATTAAAAAAAATTAAATAAACATAAAAAAATATAAATAAAATAAAAGAAAAATAAATGAAATTGAAAATGAAAACAAAAAATAAATTAAAAAACTTAAAAAAAATATAAAAACAATACAGAAAATTTAAAAAAATATTGAAAATAAACACAAAAAAATAAAAAAGTAAAAACAACACAGAAAAAATTAAAAAATAAATAAATAAACACGACAAAACTAAAAAGAAAAACTTAAAAAAAAACTAAAAAATTGAAAATAAAAACAAAAATAAATAAAAGCCTAAAAAATATTAAAAACAATACAGAAAAAATTAAATAAACACTAAAAAAAACTATAAAGCAAAACATAAAAAAATAAAAAGAAAAACATAAAAAAATAAAAAGAAAAATATAAAAAAATGAAAAGAAAAACATAAGAAAATAAAAACCAAAATATAAAAAAATAAAAAGAAAAATATAAAAAATAAAAAGAAAAATATACAAAAAAATGGAAAGGAAAAACATAAAAAAATGTAGAATGAAAAACCTAAAAAAATCAAATAAACACTAAAAAAAAACTAAAAGAAATCTTAAAAAATTGAAAAATAAAAACAAAAACAAAAATATTTAAAATAGAAACAAAAAATAAATAAAATTAAAAAAATACAGAAAAAATTAAATAAACACTAAAAAGAAAAACATAAAAAATAAGAACAAAAACATAAAAAAATTGAAAAGGAAAAAATAAAAAAACTTTCAAAATGAAAAATGAAAAACAAAAAAATTAAAAAAACAAAAAAAACATTGAAAATAAAAACAAAGAATAAATAAAAACCTAAAAAAAATAAAAACAATACAGAAAAAATTAAATAAACACTTAAAAACTAAAACGAAGAACATAAAAAAATAAATAGAAAAACATAAAAAAAATAAAAAAGGAAAAACATAAAAATGAAAAATAAATGAAAAACTAAAAAGAATAAAAACTATAAAGAAAAAATTAAATAAACACTTAAAAACTTAAAAAAAAAAATTTTTTTAAATTATATAAAGGATAAAAATTTAAATTAAAAGAAAATTAAAATAAATTTAAAAGAAGAAAATAAATTTGAAAAATAATTTCAAATAATAATTAATAAAAAAAAATTAAAAATTTATTTATTATTTTTATTTATTTATTCCAAAAAAAAAATTTAGTTTAATTGTTTTCTAACTAAATAAATAACAAATTTCAATTTCATCCACCACTCATGACTGCCAAATGCAACTCACCACTTTCGCTAAATAACTTCAAATTATTGTTAAATTTCACTATGACAAATTTCACGGTTTAATAGGCTTGGCAGTATAAATATAATATCATATACTTATATTTACTATTTTCAATTTGCTTATTGCGATATACGTATATAAATATTAACGGTAATTGTAAATGTGCTACCAAAAGACAATAAAGTATATGCAACTGCACCTAAACAGCGATTATTCAAGCATTCACGTTGTGAAACCACTAAAAATTATTGCAAATGCAATTTTACTTATCTTCATAAGTACGTGTATTGTTCATAAGTATATATGTACCATACATATGTACATATGGTACATAATTTGTATATGGTAGGTACTATAAATGGCATAAGTGCAAATAATTATTTTTCACTCGTTATTTTTCCACCTTTCCTTTCGTCAATTTAATGCAATGAGTGCAATTTGTTTATAAACGTATCTATATACATATGTGTGTTGTTACAATCAAAATTTCATTTCTGTCTCTTCGGTTTATCTGCCTTCATTGGGTTGATATGAATTTTATTTTGGCTTAAAAAATGACTTTTTTCATATGCATTTAATACATATATAGGGTTATTCGTAGGAACGTAGTAAAATTTAGCTGTCAAACCAAACATGTTTTGTTTTAGTTAAAAGTCAGCAATTCATGAAAGTGAATCTCTCAACAAACGCACAACACGTTAAAATTGTTAAAGTCTACAACAGAAAGATGATTCATAGATAAACTTTGCCATATTTCGAGCTTTCAGAGGAGATATACGCAATTATTGTACAGAAAGGACTAGAAGAAGGGTTAGGGTGAGTTTGAATACATTAACGTCTCCCAAAGACCGACAAAATTATTATTATACATTGAAGAAAAACATTTCTGTTCATGTAATCCTGGAAGGACTCCAGGACAGCTATTGCTCTAATGGCAGCTCCCAATATATTGGCTCACAAACGAGTAGAGATGGACATTGTAACAATGACACATGCAGAGAGGAAGGCATGACTGGCTTTTGAACACCTCCTCTGCCTTATCTAGTATTCGTCTTAGATATTTAGATGCTTTGCAGTTCGAAGGACTAGTTTTAGTACCGATATTGGATAGCAAGGTTCTCTTAAAGAACGCAAAAAACGTAGATACTCTACACGACAACTCGAGTTAAATTACACTTCTACCCGGCACTACAAAGGACTAGCAGTTCTATGTTAAGCGAAGTCAGTAAAAGAGGAAAACATGCAGTGTTTTCTTTTATCTAAGTGATGTTGTAACTTTTCCTACAGCTCAGGCTATATATGCGACACTTGGGAGACTAATCGCAGGATGCAGACCCCGGAGTTCTTCTTTTTATAGATTGAGCAGAGCACACTTTGGTGCCAAATGTCGGGCATGCTTTCCTCCTATCATATTCCGTAAAACAGCTGATGCGCCTTGTGAGTTCTTCGCCGCTTTGTTTGAATGCTTCTGCCGGTAAGGCATCGGCACCAGCCGCTTTGTTGATCTCTAAACAGGCACTCACTATTCGAACCACGTCATAGTCGGGCAAAGCAACGTCTTTCCTTTCATTATCGATTGGGGTTTCGGATGTTATGTATCACCGGAGGTTGCGCTTGAATTGTCATTCAGCGGGCTGGCGAAGCGTTTCCTTTATACGCCAAGTATGCGCTGTTACCATCTTGGTTCCAACATGAGTGTATTTCGATCTTAAAACAATCTGTGAGTTGCCGGATTTTTTTATGGAATTTTCGTACGCACGCATTTCGGCCGCTTTTTTCCCTCCTCAGCAGTCAATATCTATTCAACTCAGCACGTGCGGTGGCCAATCGCAAAGTTGCGACGTAGGTAGTCTGTTTTCTCTCCTCCGCAGTTCGGCACTCCTGGCTCTAGTCATGAGTGTTGACAAGTCGGGTAGAAAACCGTTGCACTGTTTTTTGTGATTGCAGCTTTACGACGTCGAGCTTTCCGACTGATAATAAGTTTCTTCCTAATTTACATATAAATTATTTACAAAAAAAAAATAATTTTCTTCACTTTTTCTGTCCACTTTCAGATATGACGTTGGTCATGATGGCTACCTCGATCTGACCGAATTGAAGTTTATGATGGAAAAACTAGGCGCACCCCAAACACACTTGGGACTCAAACAAATGATCGCCGAAGTTGACGAAGATCACGATGGTAAAATTTCATTCCGTGAATTCTTGCTGATCTATCGCAAGGCACAGGCCGGTGAACTCGACAATGATTCGGGTCTCAATCAATTGGCACGTCTCACCGAAATCAATGTGGAAGAGGTCGGTGTTACAGGTGCGAAAAATTTCTTCGAAGCCAAAATTGAACAACAACTACGTTCGAATAAATTCCACGATGAGATACGGCAAGAGCAAGAGGATCGACGTCGTGAGGAGGAAGAGCGTGCCAGTCGCCGTTTACAATTCCAACAACGTGCAGCGATTTTTCAATAAATAAAAAATAAAAAAATACACGAATCGCAATGCATTGCACAGGGGAATTTAAAAATGGGAAGAGGGGAAAATGAGAAACTTTTATCATCATCACCACTTTGTAGTTTTTAAGTAATCGGATCATTTTTAAGTAGAACAGTAATGTACTGAAAGGAAGGTAAAAAGTAGTAAGTAAAAGTAGTCGAAGGAGTAAAACCAGCTGAAGACGAGCAGAAGTTTAAGCCACTCACACACATCGCATATCGCATAAATAATTTATAAGAAACACAATATACAACTAAAAGAGTAATAATGAAGAATTTTGTAGCAGACAGCAAGCTTACATATTTTTGGTCGAAAAAAAAAATGTAAAAAAAAAAATTAAAAAATTATTTAATAAATAACTAAAAAAAATTATGTTAAAATATAATTTTTTCGCCTCATTTTAAGTATTCATGCCAAATTTTTGTGCGCTGAATTTCGTTAACAGCGCTATATATGTAGAAGTTTTAATTTTTTTATTGTATTTGTGACAAATTTAATCGCTTTGCTTCAGTGTGCAGCAAGTGCCTAAAACTAGACTATGAATTTGTTTTTTTCTGCGCAACAGTAATGTATATGTTTTAATACTTTTACTATTTACCGTTATAAGTAAGAAATAATAAAAAATTTACCTTTTGTTAATTATTTAAAAAGAATTTTCAAAAATTGTTCTCGAAAGGCTTTAAAAAATTAATTGAACCCCGTAAAGTATGTTACTTTTTTGTATAAGTGTGGAATGGAAGGCTTGGTTGTTGTCGGCGAAAACTTGCGAAATTGAAATTTTGGCTGACACGCTTTAATATTCTTGAAGTTATTTTTGAAGAAAAAAATTCCTTTGTAATCTGTTTTTTTTCTCCACAAAATGACACTACGCACTTTAGCAAAGCAATTGATAATTGGACAAATAAATTTAGTATATTCGTCCCTAATAAAATGTGAACTGTTTTGTTAACGAAAATATTTTATCTGCAAAAAAAAATTTTTTCTGTCTTAAAAATACGAATTTTTAGTGAAAAGTAAAATATTTTTAGTTTAAACATACGAATTTTTTAGTGATAAAAAAATATTTTAAAAAGTAAAATTTATCGAAACCAATATGTACGTATTTTTTTTATTATTTAACAATTTTTTTTTTGCTGAAAATATTACCAACAAAAACAATGAAAATTCAAACACAATAAAATAACCAAACACTGCAGCATTGTAGTTGCATTCTTTTATTTTGTAGTCGTCATTTAGTATAATATATTTAGTATATACGTATATGTATGTAAGCAATTAGTTGTATGTACATGTCAAGCAATAATACGCACTATAAACAATAAACTTTACATATTTATAAACAGTAATAATTAAATCGTACACTTAACGATTCAGAACTATACACATACATACATACATACAAAGCTATGAAAGAAGTTTTACTGAAGACAACTGATTATTGGCTTTAAATTTTATTTAAAATTTTTAATTTTTTTTAGTGGGAGTTTGCAATGTATACTTTTTTATTTTTTTTCATGAAAATTGGTATTTTTTTTTCTTTTTTTAACATATATATGTATATTATAAGTGTAAGTGTATTATATTTTAGTGCCATTTTTCGTTCAGTTACTCATTTTTGTTTAACTTTTAACTTTTATTTTTTGATATTTTTTTTTAATTATTATCACCAAAGTTAAAAAAATATTGTTCAAATAAAAATATTATATAAACAACAATGATTTCGAAATGGTATGCAAAACTTTTTTTGTAATAAAAAATGTAAAAAAAAAACTTTTCTACAAAAAAAACTGTATTTTTTGTAATAAAAAGTGACTCGGGTTAAAATTTTTTAACTCAAGACTTCAATTGGAAATTGGGTTTTGCTTGGAACTGAAAAAATGTTAAAACCTCAAACAACGTGAGTAAGAAATTACGAAAGAAAAGTGTCTTTACTGCAAGGATTTTTAAATAATATTTTTGAACTCTTGAAAATAACATATATGTACATATGTATGTTTATATGAAAATACATAAGTTATTGCATACAATTTATGAAATTTGAGAAAAAAGGGAATAATAAACATTAATTTTTCTCGTTTTTATTCATCTTTTTTTATATTTTTTTAATTTTTGTTTATTTTTTTTCATATTATCAATTTTTTTTATTTTTTTCATATTATCTATTTTTTTATTTTTTGTCTATTTTTTTTTGGTTTATTTTTTTTTTCATTTTATATTTTTTTTATATTTTTTTTTTGTTTATTTTTTCATTTTATAATTTTTTTATATTTTCTACTTTTTTTTGTTTATTTTTTTCATATTATCAATTTTTCTCATATTATCATTTTTTTTTATGTTTTATATTTTTTTAAATACTTTTTTATATTTTTTTTTAATTTTCTTTATCTATTTTCCAACTAGATTTTATTTTTTTTTTTTAATTTTAAGTCTTAAAAAATAAATATAAGTTTTTAAAAATTGAATGTATATTATATATGTATGTATATTAAGTTTATATTCATATGTATGTGTAAACCTATGTAATGTACTATTATATAACTATGTTAAAATAACCACCAAGCTTTTTAATATTATACAATACTTATTCGGTATGTCTGTATATGTATTTACAATAATTAATAATTATTTAAAGTGCATGCTAACAACAGTAAAAGAAAATTCTATTACAATATTATAAAATAAAATTTAAAGAAATCAATAAAAAAATATATATATATGTACGTATATGCAGTTAATTGTGTTTAAATTATTCAAACTTTTCTACGCATTTCGCTTACCAAAGAAAGTCTCATTGATGAATTTTATTCGAGTCTTCTTGATGACTTATGTCAAATATGAACCGTTTTATGCCTCGCTCCAGAAAGTATCCCTGAAAAAACGAGGGCACTCGATTTTCACAGGCTTCTCTTCAGGCCAATTCTTTACCAGTCAAATCATTCGCCATAGACAGGAAAAGATGGTTATCACTCGGTGTGAGGTCCCGACTTAAGGTGAATGTATAAAAGCCTTCCAACGAAGCTCTCGAAGCTCTCTTCTGGTGGGTCACTAACGAAGTGCGCGGTCCGGCGTGCACCTGTTGAAACATAATACCCCTTCCTTTGGCCAAAACTGGGATCCTCTAGTTGATTGCATCCTTCAGACGGTCGAATCACTGACAGTACAAGCCCGCATTAAGAGTTTGGACGTAGGGGAACAATTCATGATGGGATGATTCCTCGCCGATTCCACCAAACACACGAGAAAACCTTCTTGGCCGTTTCCAAACAACTGAAAAGATGCATGTATGCTCTTTACAGCATTTGGTCGGATGAAAGCACGACGATTGGAACCCAAGTGTGCTCTGCCCTACCCGAAATGGAAATGGGAACCCCACAGTCTGTGCCAATTACTGTGGGGCAAGTCTCTTCAATATCGCATTTAAAACGTATTGTGTGAAAGACTAAAGCCCACCTTTAACAAACTGATAGGACCTAATAAGTGTGGCCTTAGACCTGATAAATCTACAACCGTCAAAATCGGGAAGGAAGTCTCCGAGCTGGGCAACACCAAAGGTTCTGAGGTTTCAAACAAGGTAACTCCTTATCATGGCACGGACATTGGCAACGTCTTGTAAGTCAGCATTAGAGGTTTTCGAAAGAAATATTTTGCGTAAGTCTTATAGTCGCTTCAGCATTGAAAACGTCGACTACCGCAACAGACATTAAGACTTCAAATTATTTGGTCAGGTGTAGAAGGACCTGACTTTAGCCTCGAACAGTGTGAATAAAGAGGAATTGGAATTGGCATTGCAGGCCATAATCGCATAAGCGGTGTCCATGCCAGTAAAGGGGAAGAATAGCGTTCCAAGATTTTTAGCGCGGCATCTTCTTTGATTTTGTCTTTCCTCGCCAAAAAATACTCTGGTCAGCAGAGAATAAGATGATTGGGAACAAGAAGCTTACCTGCCGCCCTAAACGGCTCAAGTACAATATGTAGAAACGGCTATCGTGATATTGAGGAATCCTCACCCCGGGATTTAGGAGGTAGACATTGAACTATCTGTACCACGGATTCCCCGCGCTTTTGCTTAATAATTATATTGCGGAAATCTCTCCGCCACCAGACTACGTTTCTTTGCTCTCAACTTACAAATTAATTTGCTGTCCGACAATTAATTACGCTGCACTGATCTAGACGTCGGGTACGTGGTTGAAGAAGCTACAGGCTTGCTATAACACCGCCCTGAAGACTGTGACGAGAAACTTCCTGATGTCGCCTACGCTCCGCTAACATAATTAGGGTGCAAATTCATGCTACGTAAGTTAGTAAGTAATATCAGCTAAGATGCTACCATTGGGATCTTCCCAACCGGCACATCAGAAAGAGAACTCTGCCTTAAAGACTCCATACAGCGTTTAAAAACAGAACCGCTGGACAGAACGGTATGCCATCAGGCTTTAAACGAGACTCTCTCAACACCTTCATTAAATTTCTTCACGCGTATTACGTCTTCGGAATCCAATCATTACCTACAGCAGAGCGAGAGCTTGAGCAGTCTATTTGTCTAGAGACTTGAATAATACTGAATAGTTTTGGATATTGCAGTCGATTTAAATCCTACTTATCTGGAATTGGCACCGACATGTCCCACAAGGCACTAACCACCTCTACCAACTCATCTTATAGCCCACATCGTCTGATCCGAACTAATCGAAAGATTCCCTTTCTGTACCTTCCGTTAGATGACTTCGATGGCTTAAACTGATTTTGCCTACTCCTAAGCGGAGTTTGATAGTCCCAACAATAACAACAAATAGGACACGAAAATCTGTAACCTCAACAGAAAGCGAAGTTTTTCTCACCTCTGCTCTCTTTGAAATATTAATTATATAATATGTAGTTTACGGTCACTTATGTCGCAGCGATACTAAAGAAAAAATCGGCTTACAAAGAGTTCCTTGACGGAGAAAATTCTGCTATTGCTCATATGGAAAATCGGTTTGGTAGTGATTTTGGTATGAGTGAAGAGAGATGAACTAGATGTTTAATCTTCGAAGAAAATACAGAACTGCGAATATACGTTAGAATAGGGAGCACGAAAAAATAGCGCCGAAGAAAAAAATTCTCGAAATTTTTAACAGGAGCAAGAAGTCTTGACTTCCAGAAGGCCTCTAGACAGACAGCTAGCTTCCTAGCTTCCCGCCATGATTTTATTTCGCTGAACTTTTGAATCGTTAAAAAAAAGGGAAGGCGAGTGAGTGTGAATCATATTTTGTAAGAAACTCTTCTTCTTCTTGGTTTCTTCACATTTGTGAAGTTTGGAAATTTTGCCGAAAAAATATAATTGAACTAGTCACGCAGAAATACGCAGCCAGTGGCTAAAAAATTCCCACACATACACAGGCATGCCAAAACACTCATGTACTGCCGCATTGAATTCACTTTCTAGTATTGCATACTTTTAGGCGTTTGGCTTTAAAGCATTAACAAAGGAAAACAAGATTTATTGGTAATTTTATGCTAAAATAATGTTAAAAAAAAGATATTTTCGGTTATCTTAAAATTTTATTTATTTTAAAACTTAAAAGTAGTATATGGCGTGACATTTTAAATGATTTCTGTTGTAAAAAAATTCTTAGTTATTAACGTGATGTGCGTATTCAACTTATTGCCTCAGTAAACCAAGCTTCAAGCGCGGAATATTTAAATTAATTATAAAATAATTATACACAAATTTTTTTTAAAGTACATAATACAGTACAAGCATATCATCGCCAAGCCACATAAAAGCAAATAGAGGCCAACACCGGTTATATGTATAAGTGAGCATAATACAACATACATACACAAGTCTTAAAAAAAAAAAACAATACTTCTTTAAAAAAAAACTACTTCACACTGTCCGCAATTTGATTCTTATTCGCCAAAACACCACTAACGCGCTTCACCGCCGCATGACGGCAGCGCAGCATATCACTCTTGAGCGCATAAGAGCGCTGACAGACGGTGCACTGATGCGGCTTGAGTTGCAAATGAAAACCACGCACATGCTGTGTCAAGCCATTGCGACGCTTGAAGGCGCGATCACACAAACGACATTTGTGCCGTCGCTGATCGGTGTGTGTGATGCTATGTTGGTTGAGACTGTTCGATGAGGCGAATACTTTGGCGCACACTGTGCAGGCATATTCACGCGCGCCAACGGTTACGGGCACTTTATGTTTTGAGGGGGTAGGCGCCGTGGCAGACACAGGCGCAGCACTTGAGATTCTAAGCGCGGCAATGGCATTATCATTTTTGTTATGATTGAGTGGCTGCGCTTGAGTTTTCTGTGCTGCAGATTGATTTCTGTGATACGCGCGCGGACGACTTTGTTTGCCTGTTTTGCGTTGTCTCGCCGATTTGCATTTTACTTCATGCCGACGATAGAGGCGCCAATGATTGAAGGTACTGCGCCTGCAGTAGCGGCACTTGAATGTTTTCATTTGCATTTTGAACCAACACAGCGGCAACGCTTGACAAATGTAGCGCATATGATTGCGTAGTGCGATTTTGTGGCGGAAGAATTTCTCGCAGCCACAGCAGGTGGCGGCGAAACGTTTTGGCATGCGATGCAGGCGCGCCCAATGTCTGTGTGTGCGCTTGTGTTGCAACAAGCGTTGAATGCTCTTGAATTTCGCTTGGCAAATGCGGCAACAAAAACGTAGCAGAGCGACAGTCTTTCTTGTTGTAGTGGAGCGCTGGGACGTTGTAGGTTTAGTTATTGTTTTTGTGCCTCTCACCTGCTTCTCCATTATCTGCACTTCTAAGCTCTTGCACTTGCGTTGTAGCAACTTAAAGCGTCGCCGTAAATGGCGATATTCGGTAGTTACAGCGTCAGGGCTTGCCGCGGCATTTATTTTGCGTTCGAGTGCAGTTAAACGCGCGATGACTCTGCTATTTAGACGCGCGCGTTGTCTGGAATGTTTTCTCTTGCGCATGCGCAAAGGCGCCGTTGGTGGTTGGTGCGTAGGCAGTGGCGCTGGCGTTTTTGAGGAATTTTCTGCCACAGACATGTTGTTAGCAGCGGCAGCGTAGGTGTTCGTCTTCACTTCATCATTATTATGCACAGTTGCTCTGTCATAATCGTGCGGAATATTGCCAATATTACTATACAATTCATGTTGTCGCAAAAATGTACGTTTCATTTCTAGTATTCTTACAGCATTTGGCGCGCCGAGTAAAGTAGTGGCGTCTTCGACGCTACGATTAGGGGTGATAAAAGTGTTTCTTGGGGGATTTGAGTGCGTAAAACCAAATATGCTTGGTTGTAGATATGTATGACTCTCATCCGGTTGATGTGTATGTGTACCTTCCGCCGACGTCGCTGGTGAGCCATATCCTTTTTCTATTTTACAATTTTGTGTAAAATTCTCATTTCCCCCATCATTTGCCGTCTCATATGACTTCCACATGTAATTACCGGGAACACTGACCATTGGTAAATGCTCTTGTTGTTGTTGTTGTTGTTGCTGCTGCTGCTGAGGCAGCTGTTCCTCATGTTGGTGTTGGTGTTGGTAATGCTGATTATGCGTTAACAAGCTTTCTTGGGGTTCTGCATTGTAGGGTTGTCTTAAATGCTGAAGCTGTTGCTGTTGTTGTTGTTGTTGTTGCATTGGACTGTCCGAAAACTTTTGCAGATGCGCTCCTTGATCCAACTGTGTTTGCAGCGGATGCGCTACAATATAATGTTGATTAAGTGACTCCATACTAAAGAATTTCAGATGACAGGTGTGACAGGTGTGAAGTTGAAAGGCATTTGAGGATTTAACAATGCTTTCATCAAGCACTACAATATTTGGTTTCGTGTGTGGTTTTGCCGCCGCCATATGCGTTGTAGGAACACTCGTTGATGCGTTAACTGCTGCATCAGTAGACGTTGACTGCTGCGCTTGTTGCTCATGTTGTTGGTGTTGTCGCATATCATTTACGGCAGTGACCATCATTTTTTCATTGCGATTATGATTCGTGTCTGCATTATTGGGTAATGCTAGAGCTGTCTCGCCAAGTGCGCTTACTGAAGTGACTATGGGTCTCGAGGAGCGTGTGTCTGCAAGAGATGAGCTCAATGGCGGTGCGTCAACGCTTGTCTGCTTTCCATTTGTATTGTTTGTATCCATTATGTTGGAGGAAACATAATTTTCTTCTAAGAAAAAAAGAGTTTTTAATATAAAATATTATTCTTAGAATTATTTTATTATTTTATTATACTCACTATACATGTCCGACGCGCCATCATTTTGTTGCTCTTCTCCTGTATAGCCGGTCTGTTCATCCTCTTCTTGTTCATTATTAGCAATGAGTTCTTCCTGCTCACCATATTCGCTGCCCTCGTCAGTCTTCTCAGTTTTATAGGTATTTTTAAATTGCCACTCCTCTTTCAAATCCTCCGTCGTGTATGCGTAATTGTGCTCTTCACTCAGTAAATGTGCCTGCAAAAGCTCATGTGCACTGGGTAGAAGTCGTTTCATTGAGCTTTGTGACTGTTGTTGCCGTTGGTGTGTATTATGCTCGTGCTGCTGCTCGTCCTGTGCATTACTTTCACAATTTGTGTTCGCATCATCGTCTGGTATGTTGATGAAAGGGTCATCCAAATTAATTATTTCCATTATATCACAATTATTTATTATATCTTGTGCGTTTAGCATTGGAAAATCACAAAAATCAAATTTTTGTTCAACATTTGTATCTGCATCAGGCTCCTGTTCGCAGCCTTCATCCATGGCCATATCCAAATCATCGGATAAGAAGCTGTTATACGCTTCTGGCACTTCCTGTTTCACACGTACCGTCGGTTCTTGCTTCACCTTAAGTGGACGTTCGGCAAATCGTGTATTGTTATTAGGTTTTTCTGTACGATATTTACGTTGCAATTCACTTTGAGTCTCGAGCACCTTATCAATAAATCGTGAGAAACTCTCCAATCGCTTAAGACACTGGCGACACAACTCTTTGGGCAAATGGTCATCTTTTTGTATATTGAGTGTGGGGAAACATTTTTGTATCATGCCATAGATTTCGAAATTCGTAGAAAATGACACAACCGCCAAGCTGCAAGCATTTCCGCACAGCCGACAGTTAATTTTCGCAACATTGGGTGAGCTTTGTGAATGTGTTGCTTGTAAACTCTGGAAAGTTTAAATAAAATTAGTTATTTATTTCACATCTACAATTTACATACTTGATCTTCCTCCTCTTCAAAGTCTTCGCACGTTTCACCAAATGCCTCAACGTTGGGTGTGTCAACCTGAGTTGTTGGTTTTGTTTTGCCTTGGTCCGGTACTTTCGCTTTAGAAATTTCCTCTATATGCTGCTGATCATTATTCACACTTTCTGTTGCCGGAGTTTGTTTCTGCTCTAGCAAACAAGGCACGGCCGTTTTCTTTAGTATCTTACGGTCGGCTGCGCAATTGAAGTCCTCTTCGCGGAAATGACGACTACAGATGGAACTCCATTTCGACGGCTGCCAGTCAGGGCCGCGTTGTGCGAAGTCAAGCCATTTCTGCATCAACTCTTGCCGTTTGAATGGAAATCTGCAAGGGAACGCAATTAAACAGTGATTTTTTATTAATAAAGGAGAATGGGACACCACTTACTTGTGAAAGGAAATATTATCCGCATGGCCATATTTATCACCACAATTTTGCACAGCACAAAAAGCAGGCATTTCAAATATTTCCTTGTTTAGCTATTTCGTTTGTTATTATTTTTCTTTTTATAAACAAATGTAAATTTTATTCCAAACTACAGCTGAAATTTGCAAACTTTTTATCAATTCAAGAAGGGGAACACAACAAACGAAAAAAAGCGGAATGCCAGATTGAATTTTAGGGATTATTAGGAAACCAATAAAAGTTTGAAGATTGGGCCTTTCTAAAGAATTTTTGATTTTAGTTGCAGAGTGATTTCAAGCGAACTACAACTCGTATTACTCAGATAATTAATTTGAAAACATTACTTTGTCCAGGCTTTATTATCTCTATATCTAAGCTTTCTTTGAAGGAAATCAGGAACAATTAACTATGTTATGCGATAGTAGTTTCACTTATAAATACATGAAAATATTTAAACTTGAAACACAACACAATGAGTCCCATTGAAAATATTTTTTAGGCGCCTGGCAAGTCTTTCGTATATTGCCGGTCAGTGTGAGCAGCTGATTTGCAAATTACTTTGACGCGTGTTATCAATAAAAAAAATCTCTTGGAACTAACAAACATACATACTTACACTTCCAACAACACTAAATTGATTTGGATGTGCAGTTGATAGATGAGGTGGGCGGCTAGCCAACACGGGTAGGTGGCATGCTTTCAGTTGGTTTTCTACTCTCGCGAAAAGCTCACGCGCCAACATCAGCAGCACTAGACATTGCATATTAGTCACTTGTCTCGTAGAACAATATATCGCATTTATATGTGGAAAAATATTGCATAAAAACCGTCGAAGAGGACAACAAGGTCAACTAAGGTTTCTGACAATTACTTTTGTTGAAGGATTTTTTTAAGTAAAGGAGAAAGTGTTGATTCCCTGCGAGAATGGCACAACTAATTAAAAGTATTAGAGGCACGATTGTGTTAGGACAAAAACTAAAAAATACTACAGCAGCAGTAGCAACGACGGCGGGGCAGCGACGTTTGAGAAGCACACAAAGCGAGTAAGTATACACACACATTTGATATTATACATGCCCACATATGAATGAATGACGCAGACTGCGCATCCATAGTATAATATCGTATATACATATGTATGTATGTATACGCAATCATTTTTTTTTTTTGCAATAACTTTACATTTATAATTTAATTTTTTGTTGTATTGTTTTATTTAAGTAATTCTTAAACAATTTTTTTATTTATTATTTTTTTTTAGTGACTATGATTTGGTTGTTGTTGGTGGTGGCATTGTGGGAGTTGCTTCCGCGCGCGAAATACTGTTACGACATCCCCATCTACGCGTTGGCTTATTGGAAAAAGAGCATAAATTAGCCGTACATCAGAGTGGACATAATTCTGGTGTTATACATGCAGGCATCTATTATAAACCAGGTTCTCTGAAAGCTAAATTATGCGTAGAGGGTATGCATTTAGCCTATGACTTTTTGAATGAGAAAAAGATACCCTACAAAAAAGTGGGTAAGCTGATTGTGGCGACAAGCGAAGATGAAGTGGACCGTTTGATGCAGCTATATGAGCGTGGGCAAAAGAATCTGTGTCCAGATTTGAAACTAATAGACGGTAAGGAAATCAAAGAGTTTGAGCCTTATTGTGAAGGCGTCAAAGCCATACACAGTCCACATACTGGAATTGTCGATTGGGGCTTGGTAACGGAATACTATGCACAGGATTTCAAACAGGCTGGGGGTGATGTACACCTCAATTTCAAGGTAACTATATGCACACTCATAGCTTGTACATTCATTATTAAAAATTTATTGCAGGTTTCAAAATTCTTAGAATCCACCGACAAAGACGCTGAAAAGTATCCCGTAACGATTCGTGGCGCACGTGGCTACCAACAAGTGCGTACACGTTATGTGCTCACTTGTGGTGGCCTGCAATCGGACAAGTTGGCCGAAATGACCGGTTGCCCACGTGATCCTCGTATTATACCTTTCCGTGGCGAATATCTTCTACTCTCGAAGGAAAAACAGCATATGGTGCGTGGAAACATCTACCCCGTGCCGGATCCCAACTTGCCGTTCTTAGGTGTACATTTTACGCCGCGCATGGATGGTTCTGTTTGGCTAGGACCGAACGCTGTGTTGGCATTCAAACGAGAAGGTTATACGTAAGTATAATGCATAAATTAGTAAATTTATTAATCAATACTTATGTATATATTATAATATTTCTTATCATTTTCGCATGAAATTTCAAAAACTTTTTTGTTTCTAGATGGGGCGATATAAACTTACTGGAATTATTCGATGCCATACGTCATCCCGGTTTCATAAAAATGGCTACCAAGCATTTGAAATTCGGTATAGGTGAAATGACTAAGTCATTATTCATAAAATTGCAAACGAAAGAGCTGCAAAAGTATATACCACAAATCAATGAATTCGATATAAGTAATGGACCAGCTGGTGTACGCGCACAGGCCATGGATAGTTACGGTAGTTTAGTGGATGATTTCGTTTTCGACAAGGGCGAGGGTGAAAGCCCATTAGCTAAGCAGGTGTTGCATTGTCGCAACGCCCCATCTCCTGGCGCGACCAGCAGTTTAGCTATTGCTAAGATGATTGCAGATAAACTGGAAAAAGAATTCGATATAAAAAATTAAAGCAGTAATGAGACAAAAATGTAGACAACGAATACCATTAGATGGCATACAACAAGGTCTACTTGTATTTGTGTTCCTTTCATAAGTTGTGAATATTATTATGTATTTTGTGCTCTTTTCTGCACTTAATAGCTGTTAAATGTTTCTTCATGTGTATTTGTAATTAGGAAATCATCAGCGCATTTAATTGGCTTCTTTGTGCAAAGAAGAATGTATTTTATACTGACCAAGTGGCATTGGAAAACAAATTAAATAAATTATATATTAACTAATAATACCTAGTTTAGTTCTAAAATATGTCCTTTTGCATTGCCACTCTTGTTGCTCGCCTCATTTATGCCGAATATGCGTATCTCTTTTTGCAATTGCATTTCGGGAAAAAGGAATTTTTTGCATTTCTCTGTTAGCGCTTTCAAACCGTTAGCAGCATGTTGACGCATCCTTGAATCAGTATTTTCATCAGCTTCGATTACTTTGAGTACGCGATATATAGGTAATAGCATGTCCTCAAAGTCCACTAAATTATCAATACCTTCTAAAAGTTCGCTTAGAACTAAAGTAGCTGCCCGCTTGGCAGGCAGATATTTCCCAGTGCTAAGCTCACAATCAATCAGATCTAGTAACTGGAATGAAATTATTAATTACTGAATAATTCAAGAAGAAAAATTGTATCCTACTCACTTCCTGGAAAAATTTGTGCACTTGATAACAGAGAATGCGTGTCAATTGTGCGAGGTTTGCAAAAGAGGACATGCGAAATTCATTTAACGGACTGCGTGCGCCATGCATGAAGCAATTGAGTAGAGTATCCTTATATTTATAGCACAGGGGTCCTAGAAGGTATACAAGAATTTGAAATATACATACACACACTTCAATTTGAGAAATCAAAACATACCCAACTCGTGGCTCACTTTCAGCATAGCCTCACCCACCACCAAACGATAGTCCATTTGCGCTTGATCGCTAAGATACTCATCGGCCAACGTTTCCAGCACTTCCGCTTCCATTACATGTACTAAGCCGACAAATAAACGCACGCAATTCAAAAACGTATAAGATTCTTTATTCTTCAGCGTACTCAGTGCAAGCGCAATCAACAGGTGAGCATTAGCTAGCGTTACACTGTCACGCTTACGCAACAGGTCGAGTAACATTTGTATGCCATAAACCTGTAAGTGGGACTCGGCTGATTCAATTAGAGTACGCGCCGCATTAAAAACGCTCGCTTGTTGTGCAGCATTTGTTTTGAATTCTCCATTTAACAGTGTAAGTAGGCAATTTATACGCGCTTTAATTAGTTGATTAGGTGTTTGACCATGCAGTTGTTGTAGCGCAGGCACAAGATCACGATAAGTTTCGGGCATTTGTGTTTGTTCTAATAGCTCTTGTGTGAGGGTCAACAAAATGTGTAGAGTTTGATCCATTGCTTCCGTTTGTTGATCATTACAGCTGGTTATGTTTCGTTTATTCAAACGCTTTTGCAGTAGTGTGCGTAGGAAACGTAAAAAATCAGTTGTATTTTCAGTGATTTGTGATTTAAGTGGTTGATGTGCGATCAGCGTATTGAGTGAGAGTAAAATCTCTACTTTAACGGGGTATTTCGAATTGAGAAAAGTAATTAACTCATCTTCGGTTTGTAGTAACTCAATCTGGGCTTCATGTTGCCCAACTGTATCATCATCCAAAATGTTGGACATTTGTTCTAAAAGTATCATAAATACTCTGTATGTGAGTAGGTGATGATCAGCATTCATTAAAAGTTCTGGCAGAGCTAGAGAGGGACTTAAATCTTGCTTTGTCTCACTACTTGCTATTTTCACCGTCAACTGTGTTTGCTCTACATTTGGGTAGATTACTACGCGTGGATGCAATTGTTGCCAGTCATTATCGAATGTTTGCTTATATAATTTTGTGATGATTTGTTGTAGCTCAACGAGTGTACGATTGTGTAGACAACGCGTTATAATACTTGCTAGTTGTTTCTTTTGTAAAAATCCCTCTGGCATATTATGGTACATTTGCAGCAAGAGCGGAAGATAAGGTATCAATAATTCACTAGGTAAACATTCAACTGTTGAGCTACAGAAGAGCTGATATTGTACGGCAATCAGCAGAGAAAGTTCCTTATGTTCCAACACAATCAAACCGCTTAGCACGTCTGTCGGTTTACTAAAATTAGCAAAGTTGTTGGCAATCAACTCACTTATCTGTGTCTTATTTACCGAACTTAAGTCGTAAAGTCGCCGCAGTGATAACAAACCAGCGCCCATACAATCTATCATAGCACTTTGGTTTAATAAACAAATATCAAGAAACTTAAAAATCTGTCTTATCAGTGTGCTTTGCGCACGCTGTGTATGTCCACGGAAGGCGACAATGTTGGCGATAATCTCGAAAATTTGTTTATCGCTCAAGGGCGCTCTATTCACACCCATTCCTCTAGACTCTGCACCCTGTGCTGTATGCAAGGTAGCCACTAACGTAGTGAAACCATCTTTCGATAACAATTTTTGTATTAATTCCTGATGTAACTGTCTTTGCAAGTCCGCAGGCGCATGTGGTATACTTTTTAGCAACATAATATTTCTCAAATATTCTACTTTAGACACATACAACCAAATGTGGTTTAGTTTATTTTGTAACACCTTCAGTGTTTGGTCCTGTAAAGAACAATCTTGCGTCGCATGTGCCAAACGTAAACTAAATATGGCTGCCATATAATCGCGCATAACCGCCTCCATAGCGTTAGCCAAATGCAGTTGCTTTATTTTTAAAAAATGCTCAAATACCTCTATGGATACTAAGAGCAATTGGTAATTGGAGCCACTATTCTCTTTAGCGTTTTCACATTTAAAAACATTGGTTTCATAAAATGTAGTATGTAATTGACCGTGGAGTGCATAATTGGCCAAATCCTGCACTGCTTCAATACAGAGGCTGATGTGACGCGTTGATAGCAGATCTTCTTTAGCTTCACTATTGAAGTTAATGTTATTCATGATTTCCAGCAGTATGTAATGCATATAAACAACATAACAAAGAGCTTTATCATCGCTAGTGACTCTTATTGGGTGTAAGAGTAGTTCATTTTCCAACCATGAAGCATTTAATGTACTCACTGTTTTGTCAATCAAGACATTGTTGTTGTTTGGTGTGAATTTTCGCAATACCTCAAGGTTGTGTTCCAAAAGCTGTTTGGATCTGCTCGCTTGCTTTCTTTTATCCAACTCAGCTTTAAGAAAGGTTATTTCGAAATTATGTACCCTTCGATATTTATTCTAATAATATATTTACCGTCATCTTCTGCTAATTTTAAACTTTCCAAAACTAGTAAATATTTCGCCACATTAATTGTATCCATATTTTTATTTACAAGGAAACAGATGTTGCAGAAACGCGCATGAGAAAATTTGTTTACATTTTTAAACACAGGGTTGCAAAGCTGTTAGTTTCGGATAGTAGTAAAGTATTTCTTTAAGTACTTTTGTAAAAAAACAATTATAACGTTTATAAAACTATATAATAACTTTTTTTCAAATACTTAATGAGTTGATAAATTCGCATTTATCATCACGTTTATTACAAAGAACAATTTACCGGGATACTACAGTAAGTTATGAGGGGTATCATTTACTATTCTGCAAATTTGCAAACTAAACAGAATTCTCTAATCAAAATTTTTAGAGTAGGAAAACTTTTACACTCAAAACTACAGGCCGTTTAAAAATATTTAAAAATTTTGCTGGAATTTCCGTTATGCGGCTCGTTCCATGGTAATGCCGAACTCAAATTGGTTTCCCACAAAAATTTTAATAAGTACGTATAAACTTTGCTACCTCTTCGTTTTTGTTTTGCTTCCTTGTTTTGCTGTTTTTATTTATCTTCTTTGTACATTACATTCGCACAAAGATGCCTGATCTTAACTTTACACAAATAAAACTAATTAAGATATTTAATTTTATTTTTTATTGCTTTAATTATTTCCCTTAAAACTAACACCATAAGAAAACAACAATCGTATTGCCAGTCAAAATTTTATTTTGAGAATTTAGTGAAATCTAATTGGCTAAACTGTAAGAGCAACTCTGTAAGATGAATTTGAACAAAGCAAATTGGAAAATTTACTGACAGATTTGAGTTGTCAATGTCAGCTAGTGCGTTTTGTGATTTATTCGGGATTTGCTGGTTTGTGAAAAGTTTTCAATTATTGCGAATTTCTTTCGGAATATCGCCAGCAATTAAACTTAAATATTTGTAAAATAATTATCCATAAAAATACTTCAATTTTTTTTCTTTTGCTTAGAAAAAGGATAAAAAAATGTTGGAAAAATTTTAGCAGTCGCAAAAAAGTACAAAGGAAAAATCGAAGATCAAAACGTAAAAGAAAAAACGAAGAAAACTTTCTTTTCTGTCATTAGAAAAACGGCGAAAGCAGAGCAGCTGTTGTAAATACAATTAATTTGTCCAAGTGGCAGAAAATAGTGAACTCAAAGAAAATAAATTCTGTGCAATCTCATATAACACATCCGTCAGGCTGTCGCCGGAAAAAAGCGGTGGTTTCACAACTTGTGGGCGTTTCGTCATCATCGCCAGTTAACGCAAATACTACAATCACTACCGTTCCCGTAACGTATGACTCGTTGCTCACTTCGGGTGGATGCGCAATTCATTTTGCATTAGCGAGACAACCCATTACCAACGTATAACTTTCGTGCACATATTTTGTGTGCAGCATCCGCAAAGGTTCCATTTTTGCGGTTGACAATTCCAAAAACACCTTTGTGTGTGGTCAATCAATTGCTATCAACATGAAGAAAATTTTTTCAAAGTTCGACAAAAATGAAAAATTGGATAATTCACACAATCATTCCACATCGAAGGAGACCAACAGCTTTGTTGGTAAAGTGTTTACGGTGGGGCGTGTAAGTGTGACCGTGGAAGATGTGTTGGCCGAAGGTGAGTTGGCAATTGATTTTATTACATTTCATTCTTTATTTTCACAGAGAATAGCAAAACTGAATAAGGTTTATAGAGTAAGGTAGTAAAATATTTAAAATTTGTACTTTTTTGTTGGTTGCCGATGTCAGTACAGGTGATTACTGGTATTGTCATGGAATGTGTTTAATGGGGTCACTTGCCTACTCAATGGTACATATGTTATACATAGGCACTTATTTATGTTCTTATCTATGATATTTCCACTTGAATAAACCAACGTTGTTGATTTGCTAGAGAAACATTTGAATTGTAAAGATTAAGTGGCATCGAAAACATACTCGTACGTATGCTCTATATCGTATATCAGCAGCAAATGGAATGACAAACATTGATAAGATAATTTTAATATATCTTTATAAGATTGTGTTAAAAAATGTTTAAATGATTTAGCATACAAAACGCGAAAAACGCTTCTTGTTTTACGTCAGTCGGAATTTCAATAAATTAATGTAAAATGAAAGAAGTTTTTAAACCTCAGGATAATATATATATTCATCGCTATGGCAAGTATAAATATTTTAAAAGTTTAATAACAAAAACTTTAACTTTTAAAATCTTTATAAGAGAAACTATATGTACTTAAGTGTTCATATGTATACTACACAATTTCCTTTAACTTTCTTCATACTTTTTTTACTTTGGATTGCCTTGTGACCTAGACATTTCTTTACTCTAGTTGCTGTTGCCCTTATTTTTTTTTTATAGTTTTTGTAGCTGCATTACTACTTCGACACGGTCACTTCACTTTTCAATGCATAAATGCCTAAGTTCAAATATTGCTCAAGGAATATTCAAATATAAATTTTCTTCTGTTTGTACAAACATTGGGTATTGCATACAGAACAAAGCGAACACTAAGCTAACTGCATAAACGAATTAGTTTACTCGTATTCGTCACAAACAAACAAGTGATATTATGCAATACGCTTGCTAAGGAAATTGCAAAAATGCACCAGCTTACAAATGTGCCGACTTAATTTGGGGTTATAACATACGCTATGTACATACATATGTAGGTATATATAATAGAGCAATAAAAATGGAGTCAAATTTTAATTCTAAATTGCACGAAATATCATACGTGTATATTGAATTCTTGAAACTTTCTTACACATTTGCTGTCTTCCGATGCATATCATGAAAAATACCTAATTTTTGTAATAAATAATTCGCTATATTCTTTTCAATATATGTAATTGTTTGCATTTTTATATAAAATTTTAACATAAGTGACCACCACTTCAAAAAATGGATTTAATTCGCAAATTACTGTAAAAAATGCCGTAAAAAGAACGAACCAGATTAAAAATAACTATGCATTTTCTAAGCAGGAAGTAAATAAAAATTTTACGTATCTTTTTTTGTGTATAAAAAATATGAATATTTTTATGTAATGGGCAACAAAAAATTCTTTATCAGCACGTTCCGTATGTCAAAACCACAAAATTTATGCACTAAAGATTTTCATAGAATTTTAACTTGTTGTTTTCATTAGCGTCACGAAATATCAGCTACAACTGCAGCCATCTAGTGTCCAAAAATAAAATGTATAAATCCAAACTTTCCCATATCGTAGATTAGTGCGTTTCTCGCTTTTTATCATAATTTAATATATTTTGCTCGAATACCGCTCAAACAATAAAGGCACAGGCCGCTTTTCCTCAGAAGAACCAACCAGTCCAACCAACCAACCATATTAAATCAGTCGTTATTTATAAAATTTGCTCAAAGAGGCGATAAAGGAATTTTTTCACTTGTTAAAAAATCCCCTCTACATGCCTCCTAAAACTACTTGTCTAATCCCCTTTTATCTTAGGCCCGAATTTTTGCGAACGATCCATTAGATAACCTCGACGATTTAGTCTAGGCTCGCATGCTTATAAGCGGGATCGGCGATCTGCAACAACAGCGAAGTCGAAGCAGCAAAAAAAAAATAATTTCGATGATTTTTACACTTTGCGAAAAAAGTCAAACACTTTGTTCAAAATGTTCGAAATGATTGGGGCCTGAGCCTTACTAAGTTGTAGAAATCGGAACTGAAGTAATCTTAACTATACTCAAAATGGCAAATTGAATCCACAATTGGATAGTTCTTACTCTTTAACGGAACGGACTACGCACTGTCTTAAAGTCATTGAATAATATACCACCTTGAGCCCGGCTTGCGGAAATTATGCGCAAATCCGGCGTTATTATCAGCCCTCCTTACCCCATAAAACCTGGTTAACTTGAAAAAAAAAATCGGATCTTTGCACCAATACTGTGAGTGTTCGAGCGTCATCGAAAATTGCTTATACTCTACACTGATTAAAATTGTTGACCTCTCACTGCTTCCGTTTAATTATTACATATCGAAACTCAATCCCTGATCCCATAATTCCATTTCTTCAATGCCCCACATCCCCACATAATTATAATATGCTCACCAGTTGGACGTAGAAGCACCGGCTCAAATTCGAAAATACCGAGAACTAATAACCCTAAGTTATTGAGAATCATATTCAATAGACTGCACTCCTTCACTTCGTGTACGACTGCAATTGCAAGTAAAGTACTGAGCCGCTTGCCGGCAACACCTGGGTTAAAGACAAAGAACCGTTGCTCACAACTGGCCGACCAGTCGTTGACTACGATGCACTGATGCGGACGCCGGGAAGTAGCAAGACGCAGATGAAGAAGTTTGCTCTTAGAAAACTTGACTGGAAACCTCTTGATTTCATCGATGCATCACTTACACAGCGAAACATTTATGCTCCCATTTAAGGTGCTAACTTGAAGCCGAAGCTCCCCCTAAGCACCTCAGGGTGGGAGTGCTCGATTATAACGAGTCAATATGGGATTTTAGTCGAGAACCGTAGGACAGGACGACATATCGACAGGCTTTAGACTTATATTATATGTGCTCTACACCAATTGTAAATTAAGTGCTCAAGCTGCCTCGAAAGACCTGCCGAGCAATGCTGACACAATTAACATCTGGTTATTTTTGTCGAGTTAATTTCTACTTATACGGAATTGACACTGACATATGTATATTCTGCATGCAATGAGACCCCGCATGACAATAACCACCTCTTTATATGCCCTGTAAAACCTACCTACCCATCTAATCCCCTTTTCTATTGACTCAAACCCTGCCGAAATAGCTCGTTTCCTGGACTTCGATGCCCAGTCTCGCCCGATTTTAAACGGGGCTAACGAGCCACTGCAACAAGAGCAACAAAAAGGATTACTTATTTAAACAATTGCCTTTATAGAGAAGGTGAAAATCTAATAACAGAGTTGAATCAGTTAGCGCCATCGGTTTCTCAGTTGAACACTTAAACAGGAGGGCCTCATGAGATAATTGACCAGCCACCAACAATTAGCAGAATGTCGAGGTCATATATCCAAACATACAAAGCCTCAAAAATTTATCTACTCATACATGGGTTTTAAAGAAAAAGTAAGAATTCATCCCTATCGCACATGCTCTGTGAATACCGTGACGAGAGTCTTCATCCAGCTCCCCTGGTGGTGTCAAAATTATAATTTAGATGTTGTAGAGTTCCGTCCTACATATCTAATTTATGAAATAAGTTATAAAAAGCTCTCGTTATTAAGAAACGCTTTGTGTTTATGGTCTCAAAAGAAGAAAAATAACATACAAACATTTGCAGCAAAGTGATTCACAATTAATTGGCACAATTATTCCAAAATGTAAAAAAGAGAGAATAAAAAAATATATTAATTGAGCTAATACAACAAACATTTTGTGCAACCAAATTGATTTGAACGCGAGTACATGCTGTACATACATACGAGGTGTGTTCAAAAAGTGTCGCGAATTTTGAATTTTCGCGGGTTACGTATAATCGAATTTCGATTTTTTTGTGGCGTTATGTTGATACTCATGTCTGTCACTTATGCCGACAAGCTCGGCCATTTTGAATGTTCACTTAATTGTTGACAGCTGCTTTGCTTGCACGTGTTTTGGATGGTCTTCGATTTTTACCTCTTCAAAAAAATGGATCAAAGAACCTGTATCAAATTTTGTGTGTAAAACGAAACTAAGTGCGCGGATGCATTCCGAATGTTGACTGTGGCATACGGAGAGCTACCTTGGACCGAAGCAACGTTTATCGGTGGTACAAAATGTTCTCAGAAGGCCGAGAAGATGTGAACGACGAAGAGCGTGCCGGACGCCCGAGCACTTCAACATCAGACAGTTTTCTTCGATTGCAGGGGCGTGGTGCATCATGAGTTATTGCCACAGGGTAGAACGGTCAATAAGGAATATTACCTGCAAGTTATGCGCAATTTGCGCGAAGCAATCCGCTAGAAACGCCCAGATTTGTGGAAGGACAAAGATTGGCTTTTGCACTACGATAACGCCCCTGCTCACACATCGTTGCTTGTGCGCGACTTTTTGGCCAAAAACAATAAACTAATGATGCCGCTTTTCCTTGTTCTCTAAACTGAAGAGGCCCATGAAAGGACGACGTTACGCTACGATTGACGAGATAAAGACGGCATCGAAGGAGGAGCTGAACAAGATAAAAAAAATGATTTTTTGAAGTGCTTCGAAGATTGGAAAAACCGTCGGCACAAGTGTATAATATCTCATGGGGATTACTTTGAAGGGGACAAAATAGATTTTCATGAATAAATAAATAATTTTTGAAAAAAACACAAAATTCGCGATATTTTTTGAACACACCTCGTATATGCATACGTAGCAAATTGACTGCCTAACGATTGATTGTCTCGCTGCAAAGATATAAAGCTTGAATTTCTTCAGCGTCTTCTATTTCATCAATCCTTCTATTGATAGCTCACAACCAAACGAAATGTCTTTGCTAATTTAATGTTTTTTTTTGCGATTCTCAACTATGGAGACGTTTAAAAATACATACATATATTCACATTTTTGTTTGGTATATTACTTTCAATTGCTCTCTCAGACAAAAGGGGTGTAA